GATCAAGCTTGCCAATCCCAGATTTCGCAATGTCGCCACCAGCCAAACTGGATCTGGGGGTCGACCTCTTCGACGACGACGACCAAAAAATATTTTTTGGGCTGTTTGCGACATTGAACGTGAAACTTTCACACAAGGTGCTGTTGGCCAAGCCGAGCACATTGCTCTATTCAAAACCCCACGTTTCATTGTAAAGTTTGGAGATACAGGCACGTTTATGGTTTACCTATGCTGTAAGCGTGATGGAGTTGCTTTTTCCTAGTGAATGGTGTCGGCTGCATTAACAGAAAGATGAAGAGCTGAGTGAAGCTGCACGTGGTGGTTACACAAACACGTCCTTGATAGGTTGGTGCACAAATGGATGATGATGATGATTGCCTTTTATGAAGTTGCGTATACAACATTTAATAAAGCAGATATATCAATGTGGTGGTTTATACGCGTATATCTCACAGATGGATGCGTGCATATAATACACTCACGTTGGGTGTAGGAAAAGGGGTTGTACTGCATAAAAGAATTTAAGCTGCATTGATGCGCACGGGCCTACTGTAACTGACGCCGTCCCCTGTCATATTAATGGGATTATGGATAGCTTGATTACAAGGAGTAGTGGTTATTCTTATTGACCCAAATGTATAGGATACTGCTGGTGTGCATATACACAGCAGTAACTGCACAAGCGGGGGTGGGGTGGAGTGCACGAATTGAGAACAACGAGAGCGAAGACAAAGAACCTCTTCTTCTCCTCTCCCGCTTCACAAAAAGGGTAAGCTTGCCTCCATTTACAAAGCACACCGCATTAACAGCTGCCATTGCTGCCTTCAATGCTTAGCGTCGATGGGCGAACAGGTGGTCAATGACAACGCTTTCCAGTTGCACCTAGTACGCGCGCGATCTACCAATGACTCAAGCTTCCATTGCAATACAACATGTACGTTCAATCGCTGCAGCTCTTTTATTATTAAAGTTGGACATCGTGGTCTAAACTTCACGTGTAGATTGCTATTCTCTCGTTCATACATGATCTAAAAGGTGCATCGCGTGTATTCATTCCCGAGCTGTCCACAAAGAGAGTTCCCAACATGTCTTCACATTGCCTCTTTTGGGTAGGCTGACAAGGAAAGCCAAAGCAGTGGTTGTTATCTCACATTGCATTTATCATAGATTGAACATGTTGGATGGTGGTACCTGTGGCAGCAACAGCAAGGCTTTGATATCGAAACAAGAACGTTGTACGTTGGCTCAATGGTATGCATGGTGTTGGATCTACAAAGCAAGCCCTATTAATTAACGATCTTTACAATGAAACAGCAGCAAGACAATATGGATGACATGGAGATACGGTTTTATTTGAGGCAATGATACTATTGAGAAATACCATAAGGTAAGAGGTTCATTGTGGGATTAGTGTGATTCAAGTGGACTTACCAAACGCCTTACAGTGGCAGAGCCTCTTTCGGCGATACTATATTTATCACGGCTGCACGTCAAGGATGTCATTGTATAGTACTATGCTCTCCTGGGGAATTTTGGCCCGGAAACAGTGTGACTCAAGATGCGGCCTCAGGGATTTAAAAATGCATCCGCTGTGCGCACGGCCTCCATCCAAGTACGGCTATTGATTTCCTTGCCTACAGAGAGAAGGTGGATATCTCTTATGATGCCAATTTCAGGATCCAATGAGAGTATAGTACATATGGTGGCATACCTTGACGCTGCAGGGTGATTATTGTATTGCCTTCGGATGGTGTATTTGGTTGCAATTCCTTGTGATCACCGTGGCTCAGGGCGTCGTGTGCCTTCCTTACCGAGTTGTCCACAATGAGAGTTCTCAAGACGTCTTTGCATTGCCTCTTTTGGGTATGGTGACAACAAAAGCGTGTGGGTTGGTTTTACTTGTTATCTCACATTGCGTTATGGTAGGTTGAACATGTTGGATGATGGTACCTCTGGCAGCAACAAGTTACGGATCTCAAAGCAAGAATGTTGTTTGGTTGGCTCAATGGTATGCGTGGTATTGGATCTACAAAGCAAAACATGTTAATTAACGAGCCTTGCAATGAAACAGCAGCAGCACCTACTGGATGGCATGGATATACGGTTTCTATTCGAGGCAATGATGCTATATTGAGAAATACCACAAGGTAAGATGTTCATTATGATGGGATTGGTTGGATTCAAGTGAACTTACCAAACACCATACAGTGGCAGAGCCTCTTTCGGCGATACTATTATTATCA